CTTGGCAAGGTTCTTGGGTCCACAGCACTTTGTGAGCATTTGTATAATATCCCAATGGGGCCTTTCGATTCTGCCATTTGCCTTAGAATTATACGGAGATATCCTAATACCCTTTATCCCGTATTTTTCTTCGAGCCATTTTACAGCAGCAAGGAAAACCGAACCATTGTCAGTTATTATTACTTCTAGACAACCCCATCTGCAGATGACTTCTTCAAAAAGCCATAAGCCGACAGTTCTTGCAGTTTCACTTTTTAGGGGTTTTCCTTCAACCCAGCTTGACAGTGCACACCTCCCATGGACGATGTACTTACATCCATTTGATTTCGGAGTCATGTGTACGGTATCAGCGTGTAGTCGTTGGAAAATAGATGGTGTATGTGTCACGGTGGGTGGGATTTCCACCACACGTTTGGTTCGTTCCTGACAACGCTGGCATGTTTTCACATACCAATGTACGTCTCTTTCGATTTCAGGCCACCAAAAACGCTCTGTTAACATATTCTGCGTTGCATATGCTCCCCTATGTCCCATAGCATCGTGTGCAGATCTCATCATGTACATTCGGTGAGACTTGTCGACCACTAGCTTGTGACGTGATTCAATGCTTCGACGATATAATCTATCCTCTTTGTCTAGGAAGAAACTTTTTGCAAATCTTACGAAAGCGCCATACTTTTTATCAGAATATCCTTCGATCTTTTTAGGATTTTTCAGCCATTCTCTTAGTATAAGAAGGAATTCATCCTGTGACTGTCCAATGAATGACCTATGAGTTTCCGGGTAAGGTTGCTCTGTTTCTAGTTCATCAAACCTGGCCTCCAGGCCTGGTGAAGTTAAAGTCGAAATCATGTAAGTTCGAAGAAATTCCTTCTGTTCTGGGCTGCTTTTTGTATGATCTGGATCATTGTCCACTCTTGTTTTCACATCTTTAGCTATTTTCTGTGTCATTGCTATTTCCCTGTCTAGTTCATCCTGAAAATCTGAGATGTCTAGAGCCAATTGTTGGATATATCCCCCCCTCGAGTCAATTTGATCTTTGAAGGTTTC